CACAGAGCATTTGTGTCATTTGCAGAAAATATTTTAAAGCCAACAGAGTGAAAAACTATTCATATAACAAACTAATTGATGTCTCCTGGGGAGATATCATTTCACTCAGTGACGGTGAAATAGTGGGAACCCTAGAGACTGTGCTTTCAGATAGGACATATTTTCATAGTTACATTATAAATAACTAATGCTGGTTATGGAGTAGGAACAGTTGTTGCTCTGTGAAAAGAAATAGTCTTTTCCTCTAGTTAAAGAATATATACAAAGTTCACAGATATTATCAATATAAGACTCATATAACAGAAAAGTAGTCTGCTAATATTTTACTCATCCTTCATGTGTATTTGAAATTATAATGTAAATACACAAATTAATATTAATGGTAGCATTATTTGGATGACAGCAGTGATTGGGAGAGAGGTGTGGAAATAAATAATGATGTTGATGTTGGGTAACAAACTTCCTTAATTGTCTAGGTGGATCTCAAACATTAATAGGCATGTGAAACTCTTCATTATCATTCTAATATTATTCTAATTTTTAATTTCTCCACTGGCATCTAAGCTCTCTCCTCACTGCCTGGCTAAAATTTTTTAGGTTTGTCTGCATTCAGGAATCTATATTGTGACCAGAATCCTTGATGACTCTATTTCAGAAAGTTACACACAGTAAATAACCTAGTTAAACACAAATATTTCTGGATGAAGAAGAGAAAACATTATATAAATAACAAAAGTAAGAATTTTTGAACAAATTAATAGACATGTGATACAGAGCCTAGCCTTGTACTTGGCAAATAATAGACACTGGATGGAATAGTTCCAATAAAATAGCTTGTCTCAGTTTTTCCAAAAGCCAAATGGAAGTAAGTCTTGCCAGAGAATTAAGGGGATGTGCTCTAATAGGAGGGAGCGGGGTGAGGAGAGAAGGGTCCCAAGCTGCATCATTAGTTGGGAGAGTGAACCCAAAAGAATGTCAGAGTACGACACTCCACGCAATCAAGACCCAGGTCAGTACATCTTGGGGAGTCAGGCAAAAGGAGGTTGGGAGTTTTGGCAGGTGAGATGGAGAACAAAGGCTGTGGAGGCAAACTTGACCTTTGTCCTTGTTTGCTTACCCTCCATTTGTGGAAATGTTTCTGAGAGGATAAGACCCAGATAAATTAGAAGAATGAGAGGAATCTTCTTTTCTGAAAAGGGAGAAGATACATTCATCCTTACTGAAAAAAATATGAAGATGGAAAAGAGGATTAAAATGATATTGTTTTTTCTGAAGAGGAAAAGAGAAAGGGAGCTAGTCAAATTTAAAGTTTGGATAAAGGATCATCTTAGAAAGTAGAAAAACTTAAAAAATCAAACTATAGGTCAAATAATTAAGTAGGTAAATTTTGTCTTTAAGACTCTCAGAATTAGCATTCTATTCTTTTTTCCAAATGATATTGCTTCTGTAATGACTGCTCTTGTGATTCACCAACAGTCCGTTCACAAGGGACTCAGATCTGTGGCTGTGGGAATGGAGCAGAAAGCTATTTTGCAGTATGTGCCAACAGCCTATTAGTAATTCTGAAATGTATGCTGTATTTGAATATTGCTATGAACTCCTGCATAAATAAGAATTATTTTTCGAGTATGTCTGATTCCAAGCACCTGAGATTTGTGCTGTATCAAAGAATCCCAAGCATGGTCACAGATCCTAGGGGTGATAGAATCGCCAGATTATAATACTGGACTCCCAGTTAAGAATCGCTGCAAAAGAGCGCAATCCACTGCTACTATGGTTTAAGATTCTGTAGCTCAAAGTGTGGGTCCACATAAAGATTAGAAGGCTGTGCTGTTTTAGGTTAATTGATGGACAAAGAGATGGAGAAACAAGAGCACAGACAAGGCAAGAAAAAGTTGAATAGCATACTTTTTAGAGGCTCTATGACAGTTTCAAGGTGCAGAAATGGGATGACATACTTTTCCCTTGCCAAAAGTTGGTTGTTGATTTGTCTCTATGCTTAAACATTTGTTTCTCTGAAAAGACTATTCATTGAGGTTGGTTCTGGACAGCGAAAAACATGGGACAGCTAAATGAGCCTTTTGAAATGTGTATAAAGAGAGGGATGGAATTAATGCTATGAATATTAAAGGCTAGCTCATTGATTAATTTCAGGTTGTATTAACAAACAGACTAGGAGTGTTAACAGGAAAGAAACAGGTTTTAGAATATTGGTAGGAAAGTAAATTATTTAATCAAAATAAATAGATTCTATTTTGGTACAATCACAGTATTTAGCAGCAATTCTAATCTTCTTGATGTTGCAGTCTGGACCTTTCAGCTATCAGTATTATCTGAAATTTTCTCTACATTTTAAAATATTAAAATCCAAATTGAGGTAAAATTCTATTGAAAGTGCATTAAATCATTCGTTTAAAAATTATGGAATACATGCTACGAGTTGCACAGTTTCTGTAGCAAGAAGGGATCTAACAAAGATAGAACAAATCTCATGTTCTTGGAATTTCCTAGTGACCCAAATGATCCTAAGAATATTAAGATATTCTTGAACTTCTGGAATGTCTCCATATATAGTATCGATGTGAATTCCTGATAATTTTAATAAAAACCACATGAAATAATTCCTTGAATGAAGAACATCAGTACCTCTTCTCAGGGGAAGGGTGCTGCAGTTGAGGACTGAGGTGGGAAAACTAAAGACAACATGCCGCACTCCACCGTCTCTCTTAGAAGAGGAGCGAATCTTTAGACACGTGGTAGGTGGTTTCAACTTTGAAAAAAAGGGGAAGCAGAAAGTGAAACAACTTCAGTATCTAAAAATATTAAATGGGGAGCACATTCAGGACAATAGGAAAATATGTAAGGAGCTAAAAGCAAGAGATCCGGAAGAGAGATTGCTAGAGAAAAACCAACAAGTGAACAACAACAGTGGGTGAAGAATTACGTTGAAAGTAAAGTAAGGGCTAGTTCAAAGGCCAGAGGAAAAGTCTGGAAAAGGAGGACTTACAAAGTTTACAATTGTGATTTTTCAGGCCTTTTGTGTAAGAATGCACTCAAAATTACAGTGCAATTTGAAACAGATGTGAAAATTAAAATGTTGAACCAACTGACAAAAATAGGCAGTAAAGAATATAGCTTAGTCTCAGTACATGGAGAACGCTGTTTCGTTTCTTCAGTTCACATTTACATAATACTCTATAGATGCCAGACATAAGGGAATGTGAGGATATGTAAAAATAGCCTCTACAATGGAGAAGTTTCCAGAAACACAGAGGAGAAATATAAGCCTTCTGAAGTATCCAGTATGTATATTCTGAGACAGGGTGGGCAACAGGTGCTTGGAAATAACACAGGATCATAATCTCACATACTCTGGGTGGGTCAGTGAAGATTTCCTTGAAGAACTTCTACCTGAGGAGAACCCTGAAGGACCAAGAGCCATTAGTCAGTTACAGGATGAGCCCTTGCAGAGGGGACAACATGTAGAAAATTTTAAGAACTGCAAGTAGTCAAGGCTAGTGGAACTTAAATTTTGAGGAAGAAGGGTGAGGACCTTGAAAGTGATGAGGTGGGGAAATAAGGAAGGTCCTCTCCATGAAGAGCTTTACAGGCAACAAAAAAGAGACTAATCTTTACGAAGCAACAGTCAACACTGGAGGAGGAGAAGGCTTGGAGAGGGAGCAAGATTTCACTTTGAGCGTACAGCATGTGACGTGTCTGTGGAGCATCCAACTGGTGGTGAATACTTAGCAATGATCTTCATGCGGCAATCCATCATACAAATGACAATCAATTACACTGAGTGACATCTCCCTTGGAGAATATGGAGTAAGAAAAATAAAAACCAGAAAACAATAACGGAGAGGTCTCAAGACAGAATACTGGGGAAGAGCAGTATTTGACAGACGAACAGAGAATGAGGAGAGTGTGCAGGACACTAGAAAGGGAGATGTAGAGTTAGGAGGAATATCAGAGTGATGGCAGAGAATCCACTTGAAGAGGGACTGAACTTTAATTAGAAAAGTGTTATGGCAATGCCACAAAATAGTTACAAAAATGTGCCACTGGCTTCAAAAGTGATATAGCTCTTGCAGACGTTAGAAAGCAGTGGGGGGTTGGCAGTGAAAATCAGGTTGCAGAGGCTTAAAGTTAAACTGAATAGGGGTAAGATGAGAAGGTGGAGACACTAATACCTTTTCAAAGGAACTAAAAACATAACGAAAAAAGGCACAGCCTGGAAGACTATATTCAGTGACATTACATGTCTTTTCAGCTTAAAGGACTTTGAGAGAAATGGGACCACAGTCAGTTAAGTGAAATAGAACATGAATGCATATGAGGATATTCCTTTTGTAAATAACTGGAATACAACATTTTCTCATACTATAGATAAAATAGTTGTACATCAAACCATCTATGAACTAAAAATAACAAATACCAACAGAAAAGAATAAGAAGACAAAGGAAAATCTCAGGATTCAGAGCTATGTTTTGTTGTCATTGGTGTTTGTTTGAATTCCAGGAGAAATGCATCTTACCCTTATAACAATCCTTTGACAGTAACAATTGAAGAGAATTCATGGTCTTAATTATCTGGATATGTCCTATATCCAAGGTTTGTCTTGGATAAAGACCGTTTAAGTACACATGAAATAACATCATGTTGTTTTCCTCTAACTTATTTGTAAACCCAATCCGTGTAATGAATTACAATCAACTAAATTCTTAAATTTTGAGGGGTGAAGATTATCCGAGAAAAAGATGGATTGTTTACTACAATCTGAATCCAGAAGGAATAATCTGCTGCTCATACACGTAAAATTCGGGAAGGCCATTGCAATTGTGGCAATATTGATTATCACGAGAAAGGAGAAAATAAATGTGGAGTAATTTGCTTGACTTTTATTTGCAGTCTTGTATTACAGAATTTGAATATCTACCTCCTCATTAAATCCCTTTGATGTTTTACATGCTGGCTGCGTAGAATTCAAAAGTCAGTGATGAGAAACCACACAGCAATAACAACTTTTATCCTGCTGGGACTGACAGATGACCCACTACTGCAAATCTTGATTTTTATCTTTCTATTTCTCACCTACTTGCTGAGTGTAACAGGGAATCTTGTTATTATCACTCTCACATTGGTGGACTCCCATCTTAAAACGCCTATGTACTTTTTCCTCAGAAATTTTTCCTTCTTAGAAGTTTCATTTACCACTGCCTGCATTCCTAGATTTCTGTACAGTATATCAACTGGGGACAATAACATTACCTACAATGCTTGTATAAGTCAACTATTTTTTGTTATTCTCTTTGGAGCAACAGAGTTTTTTCTCCTGGCAGCCATGTCCTATGATCGGTACGTTGCTATCTGTAAACCTCTTCATTACATGACCATCATGAACAATAGGGTGTGCTCCTTATTAGTCATCTGCTGTTGGGTGTCTAGCTTGATGATCATTCTCCCACCCCTTAGCCTGGTTCTCCAGCTGGAATTCTGTGACTCCAATGCCATTGACCATTTTGGCTGTGATGCAGCACCCCTCCTAAAGATCTCATGCTCAGACACCTGGGTAATAGAACAAATGATTATCCTTGTGGCTGTATTTGCACTCATTATCACCCTAGTGTGTGTACTTCTGTCCTACACATACATCATCAGGACAATTCTGAGATTCCCTTCGGTCCAACAAAGAAGAAAGGCCTTTTCTACCTGCTCATCCCACATGATTGTGGTTTCCATCACCTATGGAAGCTGCATCTTCATCTATGTCAAGCCCTCGGCAAAGGACCAGGTGGCCATAAATAAAGGAGTTGTAGTGCTCAGTAGTTCTGTTGCTCCCTTGTTGAACCCCTTCATTTACACCTTGAGGAATAAGCAAGTGAAAAAAGCTTTCAATGACTCCATAAAGAGGATTATATATCTCTCAAACAAATAGAAGTTCTGATGAATCAGAGTAAATGAAAGAAAATTCCTCTAAATATTTATCTAAAGTTTCTAACTTATTTCATTATGTTGTGCCTATAATTTAGTTAGATTAACCTCCTCAAAGACATTCAATACTGCATCCTAGTCTCACCTTAATCAAATTCCTTCATCTTTCAAACAAATTCATACGTTGTATTTTCCCTCATTGTGAAACTACAAAATATATTTCTGAGTAATTAAACTTGTCTTCATTTGTGACCTAGTCTTTTCTTCAATGCTCTAGGGAAGGAAGGAAAGTAATAATATTTTAAAGTAGGTAAATTATATAGAAGATACATTATATAGTTATAGTACTAACTTCTTTCTCCAAAACAGTTATCAAAATTAATATCATAAAGCTAAGAATAAAAAAATAGAAAACAACAACAGCAATGATGTATTAAAAATAAATTTAAAAAATAAGGCATTCCAGGCCTATTAAAATAATAAAAACAACAACATGAAATTTGAAACATCAACGGGAGTTCGGGAATAATCAGAACTGAAGATAGGGAAACATCTTTACAATCACTGATAAGATGTATTAGCAATTTATTTACATTCATTAGAGAACTTCCATTCAAAGTCATACACATAAATAAAGCAAATTTAAACATAACTGCGCTTGTTATGGGCTACAAAGTCAGAACAGATGCATAAGAGTGAACTGGAAAACTAAGTTTAAATACTGATGGAATAAGACAGCTATTCACATCAACACAAGGCTAACTGAATAATTGAGAGGATACCAAGGGTATCTAACAGGAAGTAATAGGAAAAAATAAGAAATTACAAAAGGGATTAAATACTGGAATTATAATCAAGGGGAAAATTGAAGACAAATCCTAACTTGAAGAACTTAGAGTTTGAAGCAAGTAACAGTGTGCTTGCCAATGAAAAAAGAAAAAGAAAAATAAAAGAAAGACAGAAAGAAAGAAAGAAAAAGAAATGAAAACAAACTTCCACTGATAATGCTCCCACGTTTTTAATTAATATCTTTGAAAGCAAATAATTACTTCTACTGGCTAACAGAAACGACAAAGAATTAATTTTTTAAAACTTTTTTAAAACATTACCTGCTATATTAAATTAAAAACTCAGGGACTACTTACTTTAGATTTTAAAAGTGGGCTTTGAAACAACAGTTAACATTCTTTAAATTATTTCCATTGGCATAATTTTGAAAATAACTGTCATTTTGAACCTCCAATCGTATGTGAAACTGCTTTCAAACTTTACTATTAAGGCCCTTACCGATCCTGTAAATATGTTTTTAGCTGTATCAAAATGTAGACAGAAGAAAATTGAGTAATATATCATAGGTAGCAAATAACGGAGACTGAATTCTGATTTCAAGTCACGTTCAATCTGCTGGAATACACTACCTTTCAAGCAGCTGTGTCATTTTTGTGGCAGAGGGATGGGAAAGGACCCTGTAATTGGATGCATAGAAGCTGATGGAGTAGTAGAGATCTCTCTCTGCAATAATATGCTCTTAGTTTATCGACGTGTCTGTTTATCTCTGTTTACTAAATTGCTTTATTGACACCAGAGGAAAAAATTGTTGTCTAAGTATTTCAGAATTTATGTAATGAATTTTATGTGCCATAATCTGTCTTATTGTAGCATATTGAAGATTTTATATTTTGATAAGGAGAAAGAAGATGAGGTGAAATTGCAGTTATCATCTCCCTGCCAAATTTGAAGCATATTCATTATCAACATGACCTCATGCAGCATTCGCCAAAGGGCTCTCATGTCCTGAAATCACTATAAGAAATATCTGAATAAAGAAATCTGCACAAGAGACTCTAAAATAGTCATTATCGAGACCAAAGTAGTTATGTGCCATTTAGTAATGTGTTTAATTTAATGTTAATAGTCATTGAATATAACTATTATATTTGATATATTTACTAAATAACTTTATGCTTAATTTAGATAATGTACTATTAAATTTATAAATTGAAACACGAAAAAGTTCAGGACATCAATATCTAAAATTGAAGAGACAGGAGTACAAGCCAAGAAACTGAGCCAAAGAGCATTACTCCAATCTTCTTGACATGCGGAGTTCAAAGTCTTATATCAACAAATAAATGAAAAAATAATAATAACTAGTAGTTAATATCTTAAACATTGAAATTTCACTCAGGATTGAAGAGTAGCATTCTTTTAAACTGGAGAAGAAAGATGCGCAGTGGTGGGAGTATTATAGTTTCAAATAAAAGAAAGCAAGCTGCTAATCCTGAGCAGCTGCACGGCCTTAGGGTTGTTTACTAGTGCTTTATTTTTTTCCTTGTGTGGGTATCATGTTTCTCTGATTATTTGTGATCCTTGTGGACTCATTGGTGTCTATAAATTTGAAGTAGGTACCTCTTCCAGTCTTTATAGACTGGCTTTGGCAGGAAAAACCCTTCACCAGCCCTCCGCCCAGAAGTTCTGGGCTCACCATCTGGTGGGTCCAAGGGTGGGCTTGCTGCTGAAGACCTCAAGTGGGCTGGCTTTCTGACTGGCTCAGGAGGTACAAAGGCCTGCTGCTTAGGTCCACAGGGTCTGACCTGGAGCCTGAGTCTCCATGGGAGTGACTGGAGCGTGTGTCCACTGATGTAGGACTGGCATCTGATTCCATTATGGCAAATCTGGGACCTGGGTCCACGGGGCAGATCTGGAACCTGTGCCCATGGGGGTAGCCTGAAGCTTGAATCTACTGGGGGCTGACCTGGTGTCGGGTTGGGCCTGGTTTCCTGAGTCTATGGGGGTCAGCCTGGTGCTTGAGTCTGCTAGGGTGGTCTGGCACCTATGTCCATGGGGACAGGACTGGTCTGGGAGTGTGGCGTTGGTCCTGGAGCCTGGGTCAATAGGGGGTAGGCCTAGAGCCTGGGTTTGCAAGGTTTGGCCTGCTACTTGGGTGGGCTGGGAGCCTAAGTCTCCTGGGGCATTCCTGAAGCCTTGAAACGCAGGGAAGTTCTGGAGCTCAGGGCCTCAGGAGCCATGTGGTTCTAGAGTGGCCTGAAGCCTAGAACTGTGGAGTCGGCCTGGTGCTGCAGCAGGCCTGAGGCTGGGGTTGTGAGAGCTGGTCTGGAGCCTGGGGCCTCAGGGGCTGGACTGGTGCTAGAGCAGGTGCCAACATGCAGCCTTGGGCTGTGGGGGCTGGCCTGGCACTGAAGTTCACTGGGGCTGGCGTCCCCGGTGATGTCAGTTGCTCACTTCACTCTCCTTGCCCCACAGGGAAATTTTTTCTCTCCATCTTGCACTACCTGGGCTTAGGGAAGGGTGACACAGGTCATGTGAGATTGTCCTTCCTCCCCTCTTCCATATGCCTTTTCTTATATTTGTGCTCAATGCATGGGCTGTCGTCTCTCAGTTGGAACCCTTGGCTCTTGTGAAGGCATTTTTGTGCATGGACAGTTATTCAAATTTATGCTTCTGTGAGGGGATGAGGACAGGAAACTCCTATCGTACCATCTTGCTGATGTCATATTTATGGTTACCTTTTGCCTTCTGTTTCCTGTCTTACCATCATTTTAATTTATCCCAGGAGTTTTAATGTCATTTATTTTTCTTTCTTTCCTCATTTAGTTTTAATTAAATATATTTTTGTTTGTTTCTGTTAACTTATTAACTCTACATTTAGCCATTTTCTTTGGTTGTAAAGCTAACTTTGGTTATGTAGTAAGGTGGTGTCCTCCTGGTCTTGCCACACTGATTATTTTAATTTTTCAGTTAGGTAATAATTTGAGAATATATATATATATAACCTGTTTCTCATCAAACATTTACCCACTAGTTTTCGCCTCTATTGAGATTTTCTAACTCTATCATTCCTTCTATGCTTGCTAGTTCACATTTTACCATAAGAAAGGGCTTTCTTTTGTTGTCTTTTATTTATTTACTCATTTTTATATCAGTAACACTTTTACATATTTTTTTCTTATTCTATGTGTTATAATACATTGTTCTATTTATCATCTGATTCTCAGTTTTTCAAGATGTATCCAACTGGAGCACCCTTAAGCTGGCACTGTGTCTTTTTGATAAGCTTCCATCACTTGAAAAATTACTCAATGTACTCAAGAAGTTTAATATTGCATCCTGTGTCAAATTCTGGATATTGTTTCCACATATAATTCAGTTACATGGGTTGATCCAGATTTTGACCAAAAGAACAAAAATGAATTTTGTGAAGAAGTAAAGCAAATTGACATTGCATGTCATTTGTGAAAGCATTTACAAGCATGCAAATAAGAAAATGTGGCATTTAAATTTCTCAATAAGTTGCTATTTTATGAGGAAAACAAATGTGCACAGTTTAGCTTAAGGTAGTGATTTTTATATATTAAGAGTCTTGTTTTTTTGAGCTGCTATTCCTCCAGTAATGAGAATAAGCAGAAAATATTCAAACAATTTAAAAATGCATAAAATAACTTTGAAATATTGTTTTATAGTACAATACTTAGAATTAACATATTATACCAAGTATTTATTAATGGATCAAATATGTGCCATTAGTAGAACTGGAAATATTCCAATTTTCACTTTAATAACTATTTTGCTTTAATTTGTTATTTGTGGAAAAAATTGCAGTGTTTTTTGAAATCCCATATGTGACTAGTTGTTATTCTAATCTTTTCTTTCCAAATAAAGGATGCTTTGTGGTAGGGAAATATGTGAGGGAGGCATTATATAGGGATAATTTTTAATCTTGTCTAGTTTGTATGAGAAAATAGGTATTACTCAAATATTGATTTTCCATGCTTATTAATCTGTAACATGATATAATTACACTGGGATATGAAGGTTAGAATCATATGTCTAGATTTTAGCGTAGCTTTTCTTAGTTAAAATTATTGAAAAAAGATTATTATTGCATTTTCATAGTGCAAATGTCCTTTATCTCTTGATCTGGCAGGAGAAAACTTTATTCATCTGTAGTTTATAAATTATATTCTTTACACTTTTCTGAGATAT